TAATGCTAATTTAAATTTATAGGAGTGATTAGAATCAGCATTTATGCCGCTCCATAAATCCATGCATTATTCTTTTATTCTTAAAAACGGACGAGCAGCATGTCCCGTAGCCTCATCAGTGAACGCGCTTCTACCACAGCAGAAGTCGCCGACAACACTGAAAAAGACGAGAGGCCCATGACTCAGTTGCAGAGCGTTGGGTTTTAGAATGCTCCATGACCAAAGAACACAGGTTCATATCCAGATGTCCCTTGCCGTGGCCATGGGTATTTCGGCCTCATGATCTGACGCATTATAGTTGCCTCCGGTCTGTGTGCTATCCCAATTTCAAGGAGTTTGAGAAGACGACTAACGGCTTCTGAGACATTCTTCACGTACGAAAGAGCTAGCCAAAATTTGGGGTCGGTTGGATTTCGCCTCTCGTCTCTTTGGAGTAGACACTGGTTGGCAAAGTTACGCGGGTAGCCATTGGCTTTGAATGCTCGTCGAAGGTATTGAAATTCAGCAAACTTGTCTTCCGGCTCACTGTAATGTGTTTCTACACGCTTGTATAATGTCGTCACGCAACTGCATTTGTGACTGATTGGGTGGTTTCTGTTGTAGTTCAGTACTTGCGCCGTGTCTGTCGCCATCCTGAATACATTGATTTTTAGGCCACCACAATCTTTACGGCAGACGAGGACATCGAGAAAGGCCATCTGGTTGTTTTCCTCTTCCTCCATCGTAGACTGGATTTCCGGAAAGATGGTTTTGAGATGTTCTTTGGATTCCATCACTCGATCCCGTTCGATGACGACGAAGCTATCATGCACATACCGAACCCGCAAATGGTCGTCTGCACGACTCACATAGAAAATAAAGAACACATAATTGCTGCTTAAATCGATTGAGTAGAAGGACCATATCTAATTAAACGTCACATCAACTTTAGTGAGTTGGAGCTTGACTATTTCCGACCAACGATGGTCATTAAAAAGTGTATTTGACGACCATAAGCGCGCTTTCGAAATATTTTCATGAGCCTGCACATTTATATTGGAACGAGCTACAAAGAAAATCGTGTCAGCCATAAGGTGAATCGTCGGCGTCTACACGAATGCCTTATAAAAAGACGAATATATACCTTGAAGGTTATATCAACTGGACCGAACCATCTCCAGTTGACAATGAAGAATAAGCCATTTATGGCCTTAGCAGCGTCATTTGCTCATTTGCCTGCGAGTATTCTTGATTAGATAAAACCCCATTAATGGTCACGTAGCTGAGGTTTTCAGCAAGAGGGCCCTTCCTCAAGACGGAGTTACTAGGAATAGGGAAACAGTAGTCAACAGTATCTGCAGAAACCTGAATGAGGATGAAACACCAAAAGGAGATGACTATCCAATTCTCTCACCTGTCTGAATGAAGGCCTAATGTTAAATGATAAATCGCTCGTCGTTTGGAGACACCACAAGCAATTTTGGGGATTTGAGACCAAACAAAGACCAGCCAAATCCTTCGGGAAACACGAGCACATTAGAACTCTAAAGTCTCCTAGAGTGGGCTTTTCTTGAGCTCAATCAAAAACACTTGATGTGCTGATAGCCGCAATTAGTTGATCTCTATAAACCCGTCAAATGCTCGAAGGTAATTTGACGAATCACGCCACAACAGCGAGCGTTGTCTAGCGTATCAGTCCCGCCATCAAACGATCATTCAACCGGTGATCGGATGCATTTAGTACACGTCGATATTTCCCCTGCAAGAGAAACCTCAAATTTTCTTACGCAAATAAACTGTCGTTTAAGGGTCTTAGAACTTCGCGACGGATGCGGGCTATGTTTGATGTTTTGTAAACAGTACTAATAAACCAGCGGATGTCATGCTAAATGATTGCACATTTCACGATAAATACTGCAGCCCCTTGCGCATGAAGCACACGTATGTCATTTGCATCACCCTATGCAATCTTTGCAATGGGTCGTTTTTGAGATCAAAGGATTTCGAATGATGCCTCTCATTAGGACGTCTCTACATCAGCTAAGAACTCCTCCCCACGGCCACAAGGAGGTCGGAATTTAATTTTCTTTTCTAGTGTTAACCGTCCTAAGCGGCCTTTTTCGCATCTTCCAGTTAATCCACTTTGTACTCAGCCTCGGAATAAGGTCGAGCCATGAACTAGGGCAATGCTTTTAGAAAACAAAATCAGTTTACTACACGTGTTCCAATTAGCATACCAGGATTCTGTTCGTCCACACAAATTGACAATGCCTGTAATTCCAGAATTAAACACACAATTTGGCAGCAGTGTCATGTTGAGTTAAGCAGCGGTAGCTGCTTTACATATTGTCAGAGGGTGCAATGTTAGACCCGCCTATTCATGACACATGATATGAGTGTATCCGTCTACGGAAAGGCAAGAATACATCGTCAATTTCCAATTCACTATTGCTTGTGCGGACATAAGCCTACGCGGAAGCAGCAGGATCAATCGATGTTTGGGCATATTGACTACTGATCATGAATGCTAGGCAACTCCATGCGAGTTGTGTTTTTTCAAGACAGACGAGGCCCGTAAAATGGGTAAATTTCTCGACAGACAAAGTTACTGAAACGATCTCGGTAAACAATCCTTCATGCTCCATGGCTTTTCTTGGATTATGTCCAAATGCAAAACCCTTCGCACAGCATCCTGAAAGCGCGGGTTAGTATTTATTTTTCCTACCACATCTTTGTGTGTCTTACAAGCAACAAGAGCATGAACACCGGCCGCAAGCAACGAACGCAGTAGTTAAATACTAAGTTATGTCAAATCCTACTTAGTGCATTTAATGAACTAGATGGTGTGCTGGTTCAAACAACATGCACCCTCCTCCACATGCGGTCCTCTTGACTCTGTCTTGACATGGGATTCAAATAGGGGCAGAGAAGAGAGTGCACTAGATGCACCGCTAGTCACCTTCTTACCGAAACGAAATAACATGCCAGATACTGCCCCTGATTTTACCGTAATCTGCATCGTCCGTCACGACGGTTCAACTATCGTGTGGAGCCAACCGAAAATCAGTCGATATATCGATTTGTCTTTTCCGATGCCTTCCTGCCTAATTGCTCGTTGCCAATTCGAAGACACTTATTATTTCTCCCTGCGTTATGTGAGATGAAAAGGAACTTCTCCAAACACTCTCCACGCCTGTCTGCATACACCGCAAGTATGCGGACTAGTTTCCCAGAGCTGATAATTCCGGCATGCCCTGTAGATCACCGCCGCCGTCCTACCCTCATTTCAGCATTTTAAACTCTGTACACCCTGAACGCATTCCATTGAATTTCCGCGGCTCATTTACACATTATCATTACAAATCCTCGGGTCGGCTGATTAGCCCATTGACATAATTCTCCCTGACGCATAGATTGTCAATGAACGTCGACGTACTAGAATCCTTCTGAATTATGGTAAAAAATCGATAAGCCCCCATGCCGATTCCCTTTCCATTTTTATCTACTACAGTATGGTTTTTGGCAGAAAACATGAGAATAAAACCACTTGAGTAAGTATGGACTCCTCAATGGTTCATGGCTCCAATTGCCCTGCATAGACTTCGGAAACATTGTTCCGCCCGATATCTCTTCAAGAAATTAATGCATAGGACCCAACAAATTTAATTCGTAAAGAGGTTGCAGATAGACCACACCAATAATAAAGCAAGTTCAGTAGAATTCACCCACCACCAAAATATGTCACTCACGCTCACTCTGAAACACAGACAGCAGTTTATATTAAAAAGCCCGTAATTCTCACATAGTGTTCGGATTTGCCGTATGCCCAGTTATTAATTTATCATTAAAGGCTGACGTTATTGAATAGACTATCATTGTTTCACAGAATTCAGCAAACGCCATGTGAGGCCTTGAAACTACCTGCGAACTACAGGCTTATGAATGTATCTTTGAGTTAATGACTCTGTCTTTACACCCGGTGCAGGCGGAGGAGGAGGAGAGGGGACGACAGATGCTACGCAAGTCCACATTCACTACGAACTAAATACCGAGCAAATCTCCGTCCCTGAACCAACGTGCTGTGCAGCACACGCTGGACATCGTCGAAAACGTCGGTTGAACTGTCTGTAAAGTTAATGACTTCAATGCTGACATACATAAAACGCGTTAGCGCAAGAAGAGGATCAGGGCCTAGATGTATTCATTTGCTCTTAATGCAGACTCACGTCACACTTCTACCTTGAAGGCAATTATAACTGAAAAAGGTACGAATGTTGATATTGTATTAGAGCTCGGTTAAATTTGGGCTAGTACACTGTATATGCCTGTCTAAATTCCCTATCTTATACCGCAGTGGAAGCGCTCGGGTTCGCCAACCAGTACCTACAAGGTTACAATGACAAGATGCAATGCATGTGGAACCTCACCTGACATGCAAGTCTCGAAACAGGTCTTCAAGCTGGCGAATGCGCCTGCTTCATTTCTCTTCGTGAAGTAATTACCCTTCTGGCAATCGCCGCTCAGGGGACAGAGGTATGCTGTGTTCTCCTTGGTATTTTTCACTTCAGAGGACAAAAGACGCAGCATAATAGATGAACAAGAACGAGGATGGTGGAACGCATTTTAAATGTCGATGAAAACTCGCAATTCACCCAGCCATCACACTTGAAAATGCACTTTCTGAAGCCATTGAATGTACCATCCTTCTTCTTAATCGGACTGCATCTCTCCTCGACACCCCTGCATAGTTTAAAGGACGTCTCGGTGCTCTGTTCAAATGAAAAGTGAGAAGCAATTGTTTAACCGCCGTGCAAATGCTCCTCCAATATAAAACTGGATGCTGGTAAAATGAGTGTAAGTCTGTGCTGCGGGTGTTTGACTTGCTGAGTAGACGAGCGCCTAGGTGCTACCGCGGGAGGGGGGCAATATAGTGGTTTACCTTTCGCGACAAATTGACACGCCTGCACACAGAGGACATGCCTTTCGAAGTTCCTGCCGTATCCCGGTCGTCCGTTAACGTCCTACAAGGTGCAGGGCTCTTCAGGAGTTTCACAGTAGTAGGCTGTGATTTTCTCGCTTAAGCCCCCTAAAGGACAAGAAAGAGGTTGATGACTGCTGAACTATATGGCCGCGTCGATCAGGAATCTGAAAATATGTGCAGTATACTCAGACTTCATTGACATTCAGAAGGAGGCATGCATGGATTAAATATACAGACCTATTTTCTGTGAACAGGCCGTGCGACAGTGCTGGCCTTTGGTCTGATCTCCAGGCTTGAAGTTTATAGTCGTACACTCTGTATGTTCACCTTTGCACAATTTATAATCGGATGGTCCGTCGGCGCGTGCTAAAAGCAGGAAAGATGAAGTTGCAAGTTAGAACCAAACTGGGGTGAGATTGGAGATTGTGCCCACAAATATCGTTAGCGAAATTCCAGCAACAATATAGGACGTCCTCATGCGCGTTTTTGCAATGCCAAACATGGAACGGGATGCATGACATCAAACTTTGGACTGTGGGATGAAGATGCAAGATAGGGGAATCGCAAAGCAGTGGATTAAGAGACCGGACTTACCGAAAACGCCACCAAGGAAGATAAATGCAGCCGGGAGTAGGATCAACGTTTGGAGTCCCATTTTTTGTTGTCGAAGGAGGCTGTCGCCCGCTATACGGTGGAAATCGTACGCCACTTATATAGCATCTCCACAGATTCCACTCATATTTGCTTGGATGAGAGCAATTTCAGTGCGTTCATGTGGCGTCCGGAAAATCCCATTTATAGGCATTTCCAAGGAAATCAGCCCACTGCATGTCTTTATGTGTAAAGTGTCATGTGGTGTGCGTAAGTACTTTTTCTAAATTCCGATTGCAAAAAACTGAAATTGTCCAAGGACTGCATCTACACAAACAGTGCAAAATGAATTAAGCGTGGATTTGGATGCACCGTGCACTTCCGTGGCGGGTATGAAAATGCAAATTCCGAACGGATAATAATAATGTTTTTCTCCAGATTTTCAACAGTGACACAGCAGAACCATGGGATATGAATAATCGTAGATGCCACCACATGCGTCCTTTGTCGCCGTCATTTTATGCTCCTTGCTTTCTAAAAGGAGATGTAGACGTTTGCGTTTTTTCACTTATAATAGTATTGTTCGGCATAAATACATAGTGAGTGCTAGACGTTGAGCAGACTTCAATATAAAAAGTCTGCATCCTGATTGCTTATCAGTGCCAAAGTAAAATTCGAGTAAAAAGAAATCCTTTTTTCGCGTGTCTATAAACGTGTAGTCCTACCAGAAATCACCGTTAGTCGAACTGTATGGTTCAATTCAAAATGCATTCAATATAATTGATAAAATAATAAACACTTAAGTCCCGTAGATGCCATTCCATGTCCTGCGCGAAATAATTTCTGAAAGGTTAAGATCCAATATTGTCTGGAGTTCATATTCCAGAAGCCGCATAGACAACGCTGCGGAACCAACTGTGCAGCCGAGTCCCTTGAACTGTGTCACGCAGAAGCAAACTAACTGCGCAACACAAGTCTGGGCTTATAGCCAGCACGTATGTCAGGAGTGGGGTGCATCACATTTTCCATGTAATGACGCAGTCTACCAGGCCATTAACACTACCTTCTAGTGGGAAAAGGCCGGCATTAGTGAATTTAGATAAGACACAGGGAATGTGTCTTTGCTGCTCTCTGATATGTTCACACATTGTGCCGCTTACAGTATTGACAGTGACTCGATTCTCCCGACCAACGGTGGGTGTGAGTCTCTGCTATCTTCAGCCGACTCCTCTATCATGAAAATCTCCTCTTCAAATGCTGACGTCATAAAACATGAGAACGCCTCATTCGCACTAGGCTGTTAAGGACGCGCTCACTCACAGTAGTTCGTTGGTGAACTGGGACACCAAAAGTGTGCCTGATAGCGTGAACATGCTGTCAACGTACCCAAAACAAAAACAGTCAGACGTGGTTATGTAGAACCAACCGGAGGAAAAACCTCGGCCACCTGTAATACGAGACCGGTGGTAATTAGAGATTTAGACGTCTAACGCAAAGACCGCGAGGAGATAGTGGTTTTATGCAAAATAAAAGCTACTGGGAATGCGCAGTTGTACTTTGAGTGTCTGAGAAATAGCTGTACAACCCGTAACCCCCACCATAGCCCCTAAACCAAATCCTTAACCTTACTCCTAACTATAACGCCTTATTCCAACGCCTACAGAATTGGCCCAACAGGTGGGAATACATAACCAAACATTACCCAAAACAAATATATATATATATATGGTAGAGCGTTTAACTCCATGACCAAAGATCCCGGGTTCGAATCTCAAGTGATCCACACTTGGGGTTGGGTATGACTGGCTGATGACGGCTAATAAGCCAGAAATGGCCATTCCGGTCTCCCTTGTCTTTGTCGGTAGTACCTTTCCAACATATATCACTAGTCGCAGTGCGACTGCCTGCGAGGGTTTAAGTATGAGCCCCAAGGCACAACGGAACGAGCATGTTCCGTAACCTGATCGGTGAGCGCCCACTATCATAATATATATATATATATATTTGCATGTCACTGCACGGGGTTACATTGGACGATTTGTTTAATTCCATCATTTGGCAGACTGCATAGTGTGTATTTTGCATCCCCAACGGCGTCACATGTAAGACAGTGTCGAGTGCCATGCTCAAAACTGGCAGACCAAAAACCATTGAACGCCAAAGTGCCGATATTACGTGGCTGTAAACTGTTTGCAATAATTAGACCTGTCTGCAAACTTCCTTCTTCTTCTTCTTCTTCTTCTTCTTCTTCTTCTTCTTCTTCTTCCTTATCTGACTTGCCAGTATTCTCACAATTGACTTTGTCTACCAACAGTAGCGCCTTTTAGTCACTAACAACTCACATATCCTGTCCTTCAGATAAATCCTTGCCTGCAAATCAGCAATGCTGCTCTCCTTCTATTTCCCGCCTTATTATTTTTCCTCCCTTCAAGTCAAACAACCCGCTATTACAAACGCACATGACGCTATCGACATAAATAAAAGTTTGCGAACTTTTGATCTTAGCCGAAATATCATTGCTGTAAAGAAGGAAGAGTAGCGGACCCAAAACCATGCCTTGAAGTACGCCACTCATGATCGAGTGAGGTGATGAATAGCTATTATCAACCACGAAATTCCGACGGCCGGTGAATATGAAAAACCTCATGAAGATAAACTCATCTTTTCAAATTTCGAGATCCGCACGCAGGCATCTTGTCTGGCACCAGAAATTACCTAACCTTCAGGAGGTAGAAGGGAGAAAAAAGCATCTGTTATTGAGTGATAGGGCATGCATCTGCAGATTCCAATCTATCATTTACCAGAAACTTCCAAGACACACAGTCATGGTGATGAAGACTAATTTTCTCCCAATGGCATAAAGAACTTTGTACAAAATACTGAGGGCTGCATATAGTATACGCAGTCTGCGAGATTGCAGACGGCACAGGCCACAGGCATCTAAGGAAATGTTTATAAGTTTCTAAGCAATGTCGCTTATGTGGAATTCAGACTTGTTTGATGGAAGTGAGAATGTGCTGAGACAGAATTCACACCCCTGATCCAAATGCAGTGTATGTTTAAAACAAAATCGAAGATTGTCATTGGTCATTAAAAATGCAACAGACCCTGCAATCCGATTGCTTTATATGAAGCCATACACTGTTATCTGCGAACTCACTTAGGAAAGTGACTTTTGATTATTATATAAGTCGACAGTCAAAATACCCGTCGCTAAGCCTAAGACCAGTTCCATCAACAGTATATATGACAACCCATTAAAGGTCATGCATTTCACCAGGAAATCCTTATAACACAAAATCCACCCAATTTTCGTTCCTATAAAGTCTAAAATCCGTACTAAACGCGGTCATTTCTGAAAAGATGACATACTTCGCCTGTGGTTTCTCATATTATTACAACGAAGTCTTCCGTTTGAGTCACAGGGCCCCACCTAACTACCCTAATCGACTGGGTCAGCAACAGCAGAGACAACTGCCATCAGGCTACAGAGGCCAGGTCTGTGCGCGCAGAAGAACCTCTTGCGCGCTCCGCGTCTACCGTGGACCAGGATCGATTAACTGTGTACAGGTCTCCGCGGTCCCCCCTCCTTCCACCGCCCGCCGCTCTTGACACGGCTCAACCTAACACTCACTGTCACTGACCCCCTTCTCTCCTCCCCTCTCCTCCTCCACTCTATTCACATACCCCGTTTTTATGAAAGGACGAACCGTAATCGATTGCACTTATCACTCACATGTTTCAGTTTTAGCCTAGTTACCATACAGACCCGTTCAGGTCCAATGAAAAATAATTAGTTTCACCAAGACTAACACTGAAGGTTGCTCTCATACTTGACATATGTATGCAAACAATACATAAGCAGCCCTCTAAGAGTGCCCCAGTCCAGAAGCAGACAGCTGTTTCACGGTCGTTACCAATCATCACATCGCCTTTTAAATAATACCAACGCAGACTACATTGTATACTGATGAAACATGAATAGTGCTGGATCATAATGTTTTTTGACTAAAACGTCCTTACTGGTAGATATTCTGGGCATATTCAGCCAACCCACAGATTTCAATAGAGCAGATATATTTTCAGCATACAACGGCTGTATTTGGCTGACCTGATAGCATATTTGGTGGCGAAGGTGAAGTTGGCGTTGCAAAGTTCCAGGACTGCGATAACAACACATTCTTTTGGTCAAAACATAGTAATTGACGCCACGTCAAAAACAAGTATCATGGTCGATATCTGAAGCTAAGCCAAAAAACGAGTAGACGGAAACACACACACTTTGAAAATCTAATTTTTTTAGTGGAAAATATTCCACAGGCGTCGTCCCATCGATTCTATGCGTGAGTAAACTTTTGAGCTTCTAACCGACCGAACGGTAGTTACATATATGCAGTTAGCCATAACTGACTGATTTCAGCTTATAACTCTGAAATGGTCATTCTGGACTGTCTACGAACAGGTGAAGGGCACACCAATGGGTTCGCCGATTTCGGGATTCATCGCCGAGGCGGTCCTGCAACGGTTAGAATCGCTGGTTTTCCAACACCACAGACCGAAATTCTGGGCCCGGTATGTGGATGACACCTTCGTCGTCATCGAATGGGATCGGGTGTTGACATTCCAAGAACATCTCAACGCCGTCTTCCCGGACATTCAATTTACAATGGAGGAGGAAGAAAACAACCAGCTGGCCTTCCTGGATGTCCTCGTATGCCGCAAAGATTGTGGTAAACTAAAAACCAATGTGTTCAGGAAGACGACAAATACGATGCAAATACTAAACTTCAACAGCAACCACCCAATCAGCCACAAACGCATTTGTGTAAGGACGCTCTATCGGCGTATCGAAGCGCACTGCATTGAGCCGGAAGACAAAATTGCCGAACTACAATAACTCCGACAAGTCTTCAAAGCCAAAGGCTACCCGCGCAACTTCGTCGACCGGTGCATACGCAAAAGGGGCTAAAGGCCTAACAGCACGTACACCAAATCTTGGCGGGCACTTCCGTATGTCAAGAACGTTTCGGAAGCTGTCGGCCTCCATCTCGCATCACTTGGGGT